TTTAAGCTAAGGAGATTGAATTCGAAGCGCCGGGAAAGCCTAATGTCATAACAGCTCCTATGCCAAAACATGATGTGGGAGTAAATGCTATTGGGGATGATGATGATGAAGAGTTTGATATCGATAGCTGGATTTACCCAACTACCGATGGTGGCCTGAGCAATTGGATGGCAAGGGATTCCATGCTTGTTTCTTATATTACACAGTAATAAGACTTTCGTTTTGAATTTGTAACAAACAATTTTTAAACTTTACGGCCCGGTGCCTTACCCGAGACACCGTGGCTTTGTTTGTGAGGGCTTTATGTGTGTCATTTCCATATATCATTAATAAAAGCATTGGACGTTTTCTTGCATTTCAAATTTTGCGCTCCTTGTTTTTTTTTTATCTTGCAAAACAACTATTTTACACACACTAACATATACAGGTCTGAATCCACTCTGGATCCCACTGATAACGACTCTGCTACTGCCAGTTATGACTTCGAAAGTCTGATCAACTTAGCCGAAGACGAAGGTGAAGATGATTGTGAAGTGCCTGGTGAACTTTCTAGACTGTTACTTCAGGAAGAGAGGGCCATGCAGCCGCATGAAGAGCCAGTGGAAACAGTGAATCTGGGTACAGAGATAGACAAGAAAGAGGTCAAGATCAGTGCAAATCTGGAGTCTAGTGTTAAGCAACGGCTGATTCAGATGCTGCGTGACTACGTTGAGATCTTTGCCTGGTCTTATGAAGATATGCCTGGGTTGGATATCGATATTGTGGTTCACTGATTGCCTACCAAGGAAGACTGTCCTCCAGTGAAACAGAAAGTTCGCCGAATGCGCCCGGAGATGTCTGAGAAAATCAAGGCCGAAGTTATGAAACAGTTTGATGCCGGTTTTCTAGCAGTTACTTCTTACCCACAGTGGGTTGCCAACGTGGTTCCAGTACCGAAGAAGGATTGTAAGGTTCGGATGTGTGTTGACTATAGGGATCTAAACAGGGCAAGCCCCAAGGATGATTTCCCTCTGCCTCATATCGACGTTCTGGTTGACAATACCCCACAGCATAAGGTCTTCTCCTTTATGGATGGTTTCTCCGGTTATAATCAGATTAAAATGGCTCCCGAAGACATGGAGAAGACAACCTTCATTACTCAATGGGGTACCTTTTGCTACAAAGTCATGCCTTTCGGATTGAAGAATGTGGGGGCAACGTATCAGCGCTTCATGTTCGCTTTGTTCCATGACATGATCCATCATGAGATTGAGGTATACGTCGATGACATGATTGCAAGATCCCAGACTGAGGAAGAACACCTTGACCATCTTCAGAAGCTATTTGACAGGTTGAAGTTGTACATACTGAGGTTAAACCCGAACAAGTGCACCTTCGGAGTGAGATCTGGTAAGCTGCTGGGTTTCATCGTAAGTGATAAAGGTATTCAAGTGGATCCTGCAAAGGTGAAGGCTATACAGGAAATGCCAGCTCCCCGAACAGAAAAAGAAGTCAGAGGCTTTCTGGGATGTTTGAACTATATTTCCCGATTCATCTCACACCTGACTGCTACTTGTGAGCCAATCTTCAAGTTACTGAAGAAAGATCAAGTAGTAAGATGGAACGATGAATGTCAAGCCGCTTTCGAAAGAATCAAGGAGTATCTCCAAGAGCCACCTATTCTGATGCCTCTAGTTGAAGGGAGACCTCTGATCTTATACTTGACAGTACTCGATAATTCAATAGGGTCTGTGCTGGGACAGCATGACGAGTCTGGACGAAAAGAGTATGTTATTTATTACCTTAGCAAAATGTTTACCGACTGCGAGACTCGATACTCGTTGCTTGAGAAAACTTGATGTGCTTTGGCATGGGATGCTCGCCGGCTGAGACGGTATATGCTGACTCACACTACTCTATTGATATCAAAGATGGATCCAATCAAGTATATCTTCGAAAAGCCTGCCTTGTCCGAAAGAATAGCAAGATGGAAGATGATCTTGACTGAGTATGACATCCAATATACGACCCAGAAGGCAATCAAGGGAAGTGTGTTGGCAGATCATTTGGCATATCAGGCGGTGGATGATTACCAGTCTATGAACTTTGAATTCCCGGATGAGAACATCATGTTGGTAACTGACTGTGAAACACCTAGACCGGATGAAGGACCTGAGGAGGGATCCCGATGGTCTATGTACTTTGATGGAGCTTCAAACACTTTGGGTAATGGCATTGGCGCCGTGATCATATCTCCTGAAGGCTCTTGAAACAACCGGCTGAAAATCATCAAACAATGAAGTCGCCATCGAACGTCTTTTATCCCACAGGAAGGAAAAGGTAAACATCGAGTAAACCTGAGAAGGGTGAAATCAAGGTCGAACGACCAACAGATAAGGGTAAGGGAGTCTATTACGCGAGGGGAAGGTATTAACACCCCACACGCCCGTAGTACTCTACGGTATCCACTCTTGTTGTCTATCTTATAGGTGTGTTTAATCTATGCTTACGGTTTATTATTGATAAGGGAGAATGTATGCAAAATAAAAGAGAAAAGAATGTAGGGAAAATGAAAAGTTGTGCTCGTTCGGGCCCTACCCCGATGCCTACGTATCCCTTTTAAGGAATCAGAGCAGCCGTAGTTCGGCTTATATGTTTTTGTTGGTTTGTGTTTTTATGAACAATATTGATTTCGCCTTCTGCCGCAAATCGACCTTTGGAGATTTACGCGTCAGCACAGAAGTGAATTAATATGCTCTTTTGAAAAGTTTAGAAAGAAATGTGCCTGGACGCACAAAAAAAGGTTTAAACTTGTTTATTTTTGAATGAATGATAGTAATTTCGCCTTCTGCCGCAACTCGACCTTTGGAGATTTACGCGTCAGTACAGAAGTGGATTAATACGCTCTTTTGAAAAGAGTTTGAAAGGAAGGGCCCGAAGGCAACAAGAGTTTGTATTGGTTGGTATTTTTGCTTGTAGATAATAGCTAGTTAATCTCAAGAGAGAGATTTTATCCATGTCTCTACTTATTCATGAAATGATTCTTTGAGACTTGAATCATACCAAAGCTTAGAACAAGAGAATAATAAGGTCGAGAAGAAACCCGCTTATCATCTCTCAAACTTAGCCAAGACATGGTTCTTGTCAGTAAATTTTTATGTATTTTTGAAGTTTGTAAAAAAGGAGAAGTTTTTGTTTTAAATGCATATGCAAAAAAGGGAAGGACAAGTCACAGGAAACCAGTCTATTTCTAAACCTAATTTTATTATACTTCATACGACCTTTATGTAGAGATAAATGCGAGGTGAAAGTAGAAAGAAAATATACCAAACGAGTACTAGCCCGTGGAGCAAAGCAAAAAAGTAAAGAGACCCGATGTTCTTGCGAGCTGCTAGCACCAACAAAGAAAAGAGTCAGAAATCCAATATTCGGAATGATTATTGAAGCATCCTCAGTGTGAAAATAAATCACAATCGGCATCTCGAGCGTATCCATATAACGTACAAAAAACCTGCATCAGACTCGAATCTTGACGAGCAAAAATGAATTACAATTCTCGAGTAATCGAATAATCATGAATTAATTCCCAAAGGCAAAATAATAAAAAGAATATAATAAGTTCTCCTCTTTTTTTTTTATTTAACCATTTGAAATAACAATTAAATAAGTGAATAATAATAAAAGGAGAAAAAGAAAAAAAAAGATTCCAAAACGACGACGTTTACTGTAAACGGCCCCCTCCAGCTTCTTTATGCATAAAGCCTTTCTTCTACATTTGAAAACAACAATGGCGATGCCGCCATGGCTTCATCCCTTCTCCCTTGTTCCGATTCAACTTTCTTGTTAACACCACCTAAAGTCTCCCTCTGAATTCGACTCCTTTGCTTGCTTTCGTCAATTTCTCTTCCTCTATCCTGAATCTAACAACGAAACTTAAGCTCTACATTTCTTCCGATCAAGATTACATGGTGGATTTATCGTACGCCGCATTTTACCCTTCGCGGTTATGGTACAGACCAAGCAAAAAAAAGTCGTAAAAAGAAGAAGATTGAGGATTACCTATTGAAGACACGTTGGTAGCGCTTCAAAAATCCAGAGGTGAAGCAATACAATTATTGTCCTTCTTGATCTTGTCTGCTTCGTCTTGATCCCTTCATCATTGTCTTCACTTTTCTTTGGTTTGGGGGTTGCTTGCATTGGCGATAAGAGAAGAGCGGAAATGAGGACAATTATGAAGATTATCGCAAGTTGAGAAAAATGAACTTTGTATGATGAATCAGAGAGAAGTGAAGCTTTGAGAACTGACTGAAGGTCGAACAATGGAGAGTGGAGGTGAAGACGGAGTTTAGAGAGGGGAAATTGAAGATGATGATTTCAGTGATTCTCCAGAACAGTATATGGAGAGAAAAAAATGATCCCCGAGACTGATGAAGAGGAAGGTTTATATAGTTGGTCAGCTGAGAAAAGTTTGTTAGAGATTCCAGAAAGTTTGTTAGAACAGTAGCCTATTACTAGAATGGTTAGAAGTTGGTTAAAATTAGTTATCTGCCTTGTAATTGGTTATAGGAAGTAGTAATTATCGAGTCGGTTATGAATTCTGTTTTCCTTTGTTAGCCGTTTCTGTTATCACTATTAGAGTTAGTTATAGAATTAGTTAGGGAGTTATAAAATTGTTAGGAGGAAATTGCTGAGCTGTTAATTAATCTTTTGTTTCCCATTTTCTAAGCTTCTGTCCTATAAACAAATCTTCCAGCAGCCAGCTGCTTTGACAATGGAACATCCAAAAATAGCATTTATAGGATACCATTTGTCAGTTAGTTCAACTTGTACCACCTCTCTATTCTGATTAGATAAATTGCCGTTTTGAAGTTTCAGTTTTCCCACCAAGCTTAGTCTTGTGTTGATTGCTAGCGTTTGTATAAACCCTGTCACTTTCTTGACAAGCGTTTCTTTGCAAATCAGCATTGTAAGACTCCACAAGTTCTCTCTGCTTCCGAGTACCCGGGTGTAGTCTTGCCAACTCAGGTACGGGATGAAACAAACCAAACTGCTGCACATAATCCACATATGTATCTATCTTCCTCTTTATAGGATAAGCTTCCTGCTTGCAATCTCCCATTCGAAGATACTTCCCCTAATTCAACCGCTGGTGCCTTAGATGGTCCTGCTGAATGTGCTCCAATATCACCTTTTTGTACACGCCGTGCTTTTTCTTGTTCTGTTGTCTTCAGGGACAATGAAATTGCATGGGCAAGCTCAGGATCTTCCACAAATGTTTGCCTTGGATTAGGCCCAGATTCACTTAAGTTAACTTGTCTGCCAAGTTCATGATTGCTGTAATTTTCCTCCGCCTTCCGTTTGGATGCCTCAATGGCTGCATGAATCATTGCTTCTTCTATGTCATTGCCACTATCTGGTGAGTTATCAAAGTTGGGAGCATTAGGTATTATACTACTGTCAGGCAAAGTATGAGTTGGAGCAGGTTTTGTATTCTCACTCCCCCAAACTTCCTTTGCATGCCTAAATTTAGATTCAGCTTTCTCCATAGCCTCCTTCATAGCTGTAGCAGCTGAGTTCATCTCTAATTCTTTATCAGGATCACCATTTTCACATTCATCATCATCACTGTGACTCGTGCCCATGGCAAAATCTTCAAGTTCATCAAACTGCGACGCAGAAGATAACTTGGTTGTAGCAGGAGCATATTTAGGATCCTGAGAAAATCGAGTGGAACTTGGGAAAGAAGAAAATCCGTTGTCTTTCCTGACATTGGCAAAAGCTGGTGAACCTGTTTCTGACATGGGGATATGAACTGGTCGAGGAGGAGGTGGTCTTGAGGGTGGTGGAGCAGCAGTTGGTTGTATGGAAAGAGGAATCTCTGATACCGTTAGCCACATATCATCATCTGAGACTAACTTTTCTTCATATTTCTGAGACCTTTGGTCAACTATTGGTTTATTCGAATCAGATGAATATATAGGCATGCCATATGGAGTTTGATGAAACTCCTTATCATGTTCAACAAGAATCTTGTTATGTGTCCGTCTATCAAGACTTCTGACAAACAATTTTTCAAATGATTCTTTATCTCGGGTCCAACTTGAACTTGTGTTTGACCTCGGCATTGGGGAACTGGTATCGTTCCTACAGGTCCCCTCTGATGAAAATGCTGGTACTGAATTTCCAAGTCCATCAAAGGAATCAGTATCATCATATACTCCATCATTAGAATTGGATGAAAAATCAATTTTTGTGCTTCTAGAACTAGTAAGTTTACTAATTTCTTCTAATGGGTCTGTAAAGTGCCTTGAGGATGAACCAGTTGGAGCAGAAGTTGATTCAAATATTTTGAAAGGGTCTTTTGTTGTATTGGAGGCTGTTTCAGATGCACTAAAAGTAGATTTTGATGATGAACCAATATCAAGAGTGGGCCTTTGATGGGAGGAGGGCTTACTGTTCCCAAATCTGTCAAAGCTATAGCCATATTCTTTGATAGGCCATTAGAAGACAAGATCTTCTCCAACTGGGCCTTTGCAAATTTTTGTCTGGTCTCGTCATAACGTTTCCATCTTGAGAAGGCTGACACCATTCTTGATGCAATCTGAGGATTTATTTTGTCAAGTTACAGCACAATATCTCCCAAAAATTCATAGCCAGATCCATCCTTTGCATGGAAATTCACAGGGAGCCCGCAGAAACCTCCAATGAGAGAGTACACTTTATTGGGATTGTGCAAGTCAAATGCTGGGTGGCTTAACAGTTTCCGCACATTCTCAACATTACCAGGAATGTCAGACACAGCTTGAAGAGCAAACCATTTGTTCACAACCAAGTAATCATTCTGCCACTTCTCATAAAAGTCAGCAAGAACATCATCACGAGTTTTAACAGGGTTCTGGGCTATGGACGCCAATGCTGTAAAATGTTCAGTCATATTTGTAGCAGTTTTGTATTCTTGAAGTGCAAGGTCGGTGAATTCTTGATCCTCAGGGGAAGCAAGATAAGCAAGAGCAACATTCTTCAAAGCTCGTCTAGACATGTTTGAATGATCAAACACATATTCTCCTGAACTCTTATTATTTTCTACAGTGCTAAGGAACTCTGATTTCAGTTCACTAGCAAGCTACTTTCTGATGAAAGATCGAACAGTATGAACAGCATCAGGGTCTGCAACTTCCATCAAGTCTATTATTTCTCCCTCGCCCGGCAGAGTTATTGCCTTGGCCACAAATTCTTTGTCCAGACTTGAGTCAGTTAGTATACGCTTGAACCCACCAACAGAATTGGAATTTAAAACCAATGGCTTATTATTTTGGAAATCATCCACCAAGTTGATCATCAATTTTCGTGCCAAAATTTGTCCAGCCTCCCATCGGTTGAATTCATCAGAATCATTGGCTAATAGGAAAAACAGGTCATCCTCAGTAAGATCAGATTGAAGACGAATAGGAGCATTGTATCCCCTTAACAAAGATGGAACAGGCTTCTCAAATATATCAGTGAATACAAACTCTTCTTATTTCTTATTGACTCTAAGGACTGTAGTGGATACTGATTGGCCACTGCTTGAAACGAGTTGCAAAGCTCCATTATGATAAATAGAGGAAAGAGGAATGTCCTTGCCATTTGACTCAAGCAAACCTACTGCAATAGGAATTAACGCGGGTTCCTTAACTGACTGCCCTGGAGTTGGTGGTGTCTCTTGACTAATCTTCAAGGAAATGTATGTCCTTCTGCATTACAAGAAGTATTTACTTTAACAACTGGAGTCCCAGCCTGAGAGTACCATGATAAGAAATTTGCAAAATCTGCATCATTTGCATCCCGCATGGAAGCATAAAAAATCTTCACATGTTACAGCTTGCCCATCTTGTCTCTTAAAATATAGATCCATGCCCCTTTCGAAACCCTTGACTTCCCAATAAGAATTTGTCTCTGGTTCAACCATCTCTGAATCTGATTCTTGTATAATGCTTGTGGGACTCTTGTTCCTGGTAGACAAGCATCAACACTGGTATAGTTGTAGCTGTGAACATCCATGCGAAATCTTCTAACAGACACATTTTGAAATGCAGCGCTCATCATTGTTAAATTGAGACTTTCCATTATATGTTTGAGTGAACGCCCATCCAAATTCAGGCTGTCCCTGAATGAAATGTATTTGGCATTTCTCATCATCTTTGATGCAATAGTTTTTTTTTAGTCTGAAATTGAAACCAGGGACGTGCAGTTGCCGGCATTTAACAATTTGATGAGAGAGGGGAGCTCTGGAAGGTACCGAATCTCCCTGCATTCCTCCAATGACAGAATTTCTAGCCATTGAAGATTCCTGATGCTTTCCGGAAACCTTTTCACGTTGCTTCCATTTAGAATTAGTTCCTGTAATTTTGATAGGACACTGATGTTGTCAGGGAGTTCGAACAAGTTATTACAATCCTTCAAATGTAGTATTTGTAGAGATCGTAGGCCATCAAATAATACATGTAGCTGTTGTTTCTTAACTTTTGGTCCACTTCCAGAAATCCTAAGCTCCTTAATAGATGTTAGGCTACGTAACTCCTTTGGAAGATACTTAAGTCTTGAACTCTCAAGATTAAGCCACTTAAGATTGCGAAGAAGCCCAATAGATAGGTTAAGTGTTTGAATCTCTGTACTGCTTAAATCCAAGTTTTCAATTAAATCCGAGGAGACGGCAAATTCCTCGAGACTTGTACAGCCAATGGTACTGATCTTTTCCAAAAAAACTTTAAATGTTTTCAGCCTTTAACACTCCCAAGCTTTGTACAACCGTCAAGTATCAGAGTAGTAAGTGTTTCAGCCAAAAGAACAGATGAATGAAGATCGACCAGACTCACACAAATATAATGTTTTGAGGAACTGATAACGAAGATGGAAATATGGAAGAAGTATAACCAAGATATCCTTAAAACTATTAATCCACATTGACTTATATTGTGAGCAAAAACTAACGATGATGAGAACAAAAATGGCCTTGATCAACATGAATCTATGGTACCATTCCTTATGCCATGACCTCATACTTTTAAATTCAACCCCAGAAGTCCTTTGTTTTGTCAAAAAATGTCTTTGTGGGATCCTTGAAGAAGATAAAATTTGAAGCTTAGAAAGATATCCTCTAATCATTCCTCATTGATGAACATCAACAAACTCACACACAAAATGCAAAACCTTAACCCGCTTGTATTAGGTGCACAGTGACGACTTGAGACATGGATAGAATAATGTTCAAAATGTCTTCGAAATGAAACAAAGCATGATCTTCCAATAGACATAAAGAAATAAACTCAAATCTTCAGACTTTAACAAATAAAACCTTGCAACTTGATTTTGAGATGAAGAGAATAACCTCGTAGCTTGATAAAGAAGAAATCCACAACAACCATCAATCAAAACCCTAAACTCACAGTTCAATGTTCCAGAAGAATCAGTCTTGTTTGATAAACACCTCGAACCAAAAGAAAACCCGAGCTTCACAACCAATGATTCTTGAATCATGATTCAACAAAACCTGAATTGGTTAATTGAAGAGTGGATGAATGCCATGTCGAAGTCATTAAGCTTGTTGTTTATCATAAGATAATAGCCTTGCTGCTTGAGGGAAAGGAAGTCCAAAAAATGAGAATGAACCAAAAACCTAATTCCACAGCTCGCTGACACCAGGAAGACCCTGAATAATCAGGCTCATTCCACACATACACCTTAAATCAGCTGTAAACCTTAGCTCCCTAACTGCTGGTCTTTTGAACCTCAGGCGATCTATTTTATGAAAAATGCGTGCTATGCAAATGACCCATTGGAATGATGCAGATGAATGCAAAAAGTCTAAGCCAAATAAAAGAGATTAGGAGGGAAAATTTTGGGGTGCAACAGCTCTCATACTCCGTTCACCGCCCGACTATGTTTCAACTGCACCAACAACATGGCGGAGTATGAAGCGTGCATTATGGGTCTTCGAGCAGCTATTGACCTAAGGATTAAGTTCTTAAGTGTTTTTGGAGATTCCGCTCTTGTGATCAGTTAGATCAAAGGCGAGTGGGATACGAAACACCCTAATCTTATTCCTTACAAAGAGTATGTGTTGACGTTGCTTCCACACTTCAAGGAGATAACCTTTGAACACTTCCCTAGAGAGGAGAATCAGTTGGCGGACGCGCTAGCTACAATGTCTTCTATGTTCAAGTTTAGATGGGACAATGAAGCTCCCCAGATTATCATTGAAAGGTTGGACGAACCAGAACATTGTTGTGACATTGAGGCTGAAGAGGCAACGGATAAACCCTGGTTTCATGAGGTGAAGAGGTATCTTAAGGCTCAGGAATACCCCGAGGGTGCGTCTGTTAATGACAAGAAGTTTCTGAGGAGGTTCGCGGCGAAGTTCTTCATCAGCAATGGCATCCTTTACAAGCGTAACCATGACTCAACCTTACTGCGTTGTATGGATAAGAACGAAGCAGAAAGAATCATGATAGAGTTGTATGAAGGTACTTTCGGAACTCATTCCAGTGGACACACCATGGAAAAGAGAATCCTTCGGGCAGGATATTATTGGTCCACAATGGAAGCCGACTGTTATCAGCATTCTCGGACTTGTCATAAGTGCCAAGTCTATGCTGATAAGGTGCATATACCTCCAGTTCCTATGAACGTCTTAACGGCTCCATGGCCTTTTGCAATGTGGGGCATTGACATGATTGGCGAGATCAGACCTACGACATCTAACGGGCATCGTTTCATCCTGGTAGCTATTGATTACTTAATGAAGTGGGTTGAAGCAGCTTCCTTTGCTACCGTAACCAAGAACGTCGTGGCACGGTTCATTCGGCACAATATGATCTGTCGATACGGTGTACCAGAGAGGATCATTACGGATAATGGTACAAATCTCAACAATAAGATGATCACTGAACTCTGCAAACAGTTCAAGATACAGCATCATAACTCTTCTCCCTACCGGCTGAAGATGAATGGGGCTGTAGAAGCGGCTAATAAGAACATTAAAAAGATTGTGCAGAAGATGACGATGAGATACAAAGATTGGCACGAGATGTTACCATTTGCTCTTCATGGGTACCATACCTCAGCACGGACGTCAACAGGGGCAACACCCTATTCCTTGGTTTATGGCATGGAGGTTGTCTTGCCCATTGAAGTTCAGATACCCTCTCTTCGGATTATGAAGGATGCAGGTTTGAGCGAAGATGACTGGATTCAGACCCGGCTTGATCAGCTGAACCTAATCGACGAGAAGAGACTTACTGCTATTTGTCATGGTCAGACGTACCAAAAACGGATGATCAAGGCATTTAACAAGAAAGTCAGACGACAAGAGCATCAAGTTGGGGACCTGGTTATCAAGCGCATCATTCTTCCACAAGGTGATCCCAGGGGAAAATGGACCCCTACTTACGAAGGGCCATTTATGGTTATGAACATTTTCTCAGGAGGAGCTATGATTCTAACCACCATGGATGGTGACGACCTTCCTCACCCCGTCAATGCAGACATAGTGAAAAGATACTACGCCTAATCAAAGACCCGCTGGGTTGACTGGCCTAGGAAAAAGTAAGGGCTTCCCGGCGAACCAAAAGGGTTCGGGCAAAAATAAGGGATGAAAAATAAAAAAAATTGTACACCCAACAAGTCAAAAACCTGAAAAGGCGGCTTGGGCAAAAAAGGGTATCCCGGTGGACTGAAAACCCGAAAGGGCTGTCCAGACAAAAATTAGGGATTAAAGCGTAACACTATGTCTCATTGGATCACCTTGCAACCAGACTTCGGTATCGACTATCAAGCTCGGACAGCACTAATCAATCTAATCTACCTTCAACCAAGTAGCAAAGTGATGAGATGCTTGAGGACATAAAGGCAATAGCAGAGTTGGAACCCAGTGGGATTATTCACATAGCTGTTTTGTTTAGTTTTTCACAAATTGTGTAAATTCTATTATTCGGTGGCGTTCTCTTACTAGGACGTCAGCCTCTTGTACAAAAAATGCCTATTTAAATGCCAAACTTCGAA